TATTCGAGAATTATTGGGAGCTGGGAGTTGCTCAGCCTCAAGATTCTTATTCATTTAAGAAAATATAATATTTTACGATTTTGTCCAACCCGAATTAATAATTTTACCTAATTCTTACAAAAAAAAAGTCCAATTTAACTTGCCCACCCTCAAATAAGGGCATTTGTTCGCCTTGCGCTAATCCTGATTCTGCCTCTACAAACAGGTGGTGTAAGTGAACCAAATTAGTTCAAATTTGAATTGATAACAAACTCACTAGTCGACTTTATTATTTTAGATAGAAGATGTCATGATTTGTTCAAGTTTTACTCCTCCATTCGTATATTTATATGCCATGTTTATGACTTTTGCTACATTCATAATGAGGTAAATTTTTTATGTATTTTTAGGAAAATTACCTTGAATCACATGGAAAACAAATATGTAAACATAAACTGCATATAATCACAAGGAAAAAATAATAAACACAAATTGATTAGAATTTTGTATTATCTTGACCGCTGTAAAGCTATTTAACTTTAGTTTTAGATCAAATATATAATTGAGTCGAGCTTGATCTTTGTGGTCAAACTTCAGCAGATTTGATGTGTGCTAGAAAATTTGTAACAGTAGAGTGGTGAATTATTGTCTCAGCGTTGTATGAGAATCAAACATACATTCAGATGAACATATACAATCAATAGGGCACCAAGACTTTTTGGCACATATCGAGACTATAATTATTTTTTTCAAGGTCGACTTGGAGCACAAATTGATTGCATGTTATATTAATTGAGTTCTTGTTGTTACCGCTTCTAAAAAAAATGCATGATGTTTGCATATTATACCATTTGGTACTCATTTGAATAATAATTGCACATCTGCTTTGAACATAACATTTGAAATGTAAATGCAAAATTAGGTTTTAGAAAATTCGGACAAGGTAAGAACTTGTGATAATAATGTTGAACAATATTTGGCTATTTTCAAATTTTATTAGAATCATTATCATAGTTTGTATAGACCTCATTTGAATTAATTAAATTTCAACCTTGATACGTCATCAACAAATCTAGCATCTAACACGAATGTCAAGACATGACATGAATCTCGGGTCGATCTTTTGAGTAAAAAATGTTCAAACTATCCTTGATGGTTTTATCGTTGTTCGGCAATAAAAAACTTTCGGGCGTTTGTCCAATTCAAGATTTGAACATGATCTTGTGGTCAGGGAGGATCATAGGCTGGCCCTTTGAGTGATTTTGACTGATCGGGTGTCTTTGGGATCGTTGTCGGCCATGCTGCCCGGGTTCAAGTTCTCGAGTGTCTGTCTAATCTTAAAAAATACAAGAAATCCATGATTTTCCCGAGTCTCAATTGGATCTCCGACCCAAAATCTCTCGGAAGCTAACAAAAACACGAATTTTCAGCTCTCATATCTGCTCATGTGGATCACTTGGTGTACTCCATGTTAGTAGTGTCTTTGTGGTAATTCTTTTTTCAATGGTGTCACTCCTTTTCTTATTGATGATATGCTTCCCACTCACCACACTTTTCAAGATGTCGAATTTGAATTTGTCTTGTGAAACACTCCTAATGAAAGGAGCGATATATACCATAAGGGAGAAACATGGATAAAGAGGGAGAAGAGAGAGGATGCACAACAAGACTTTCCCCTTAGGTGCGAATGTGGTGTTCTTGGGTTTTTGTGACCCATTTTATATAACAAATGTAGTAGTTATATTGAGAGGACTTGGACACACCAGCTTGCCTACTTGACCACCATGGTGGTGTCTATAAGATGACCCCCTCCCATGGCCAAAGGGAGGGATACACACTTACCGTGAGGAAACTCTGTAACTAATATTGTTATTGCACTCGGTTTCCAAAAGTTTTTTTCTTTCGAAGTGACTCCCACACTCTTTTGAATGTACATCTCGGAGAACATCGTCTTCTTTTATACTCCTCAGGTACACTGTGACCGATCAATGAAAAAGTTTTTAATCAATTAAAAGAAATTGGGTTATCTTGGTTTTAAAGCGCTTTAAAAAAAAACTTATTTTGAGACGTTCCCAGACTTAAGGTATATGATGTAAGGATTTAGAGGGACGACCAATCTAACTTAAATGACCCAACTTGGACGACTAACCCAGCCAGGATGACTGACCCAGTTGGAGGACCGGAATGACAACCACAACCAAGACAACTCGGACATAAAAATCGAGCTAGTCTGTCCAGACCAAATGACCGACTCAGAATGGACAATCGACCCAGCATGGATGATTGACCCAGTCTGAATGGCTGACCTGGCCTGAATGATCGACCCAATTCAGTAGTCCGAGCTGCCGACCCGGAGCCAATTAAGCTTAGCCGGTCAAGCAAGAAAGTAACTAGCCGACAAATTCATGCATGTAAAACACCAAAAATATCATAGTACGAACCCCTTTCAAGTATGCACAAAATGTAATATCATCGTTATGCCCTTTCATTTACAAATAGAAAATCATTTTATGAATAAGACACGAATAATCACTATTCTTCATTGTTCAATCTTCATCTATCTATTTCTTTATCTCTTGTTATTTATACTCTATTTATTGAGTGTGATTTAAAGACAAATTTGACTTCAACAATATCAGATGTACATATTATTTGAGCTATTTTAGAAGCATATTTGAGCTTTATTCGATCTATGTTCCCAACTTGTTTCAACCTTATTTGAAATTGCTTGGGCTGCGTGAGTCTTTGAAAAATATTAAAGCCTCGTTAAAAAAATGATTAAAATTTTTGTTTAACTTATTCAAAGAAATATCGATCGGGTCAGAGGTTAAATAGGCATTTTGCAATCAAAATAACAATTATTTAGGTCTATACGGCCTTTTTAGCACAATTTTTTAGTATTTATATAATTTAATATGTTCTATTAATAAATAATTATTTTACATTTAATCATTTACCTTAACACAGATATGGGTAATAAAAGATATGATGTTCATGTAATTATTTATGTAAAAATGAATATTAAATCCTCATATATATATGAGACACACACACACACACACACACACACACACACACACATATATATATATATATATATAATTTTAAAAATAATTTTGTAAAATGAATTTAATCATTTGACAATTGCATGAATCTCAAGGAGATAAACATAAATCTCGAGACATTTACTGATTTGACTAGAAAAACACAATGATAATGAATTTGGTCCAATCCAATGTAAATCAAGGTCATATATCTAGTGGTTAAGACATTTCGGAAACCTCTAGTGCTCAATCGAAAAGTCAAATGTATTCCAAATACAACAAGCTTATGGTCAAATTGAATGTTTCGACACGACGAATTTAACGAGTCCAATATCACTCTATTATGACATTCTTAAGACACAAAAATATCCATGAAATATTGTATGAATGAGGGAATCTCTTTGAATAGTCTGATAAGTGGTAAGAATTTTTTTTTTTAATTTGCAGAGACCTTTCTGAGACTCCATAAATAGAGACACACCTTCTTTAAGAGAGGAGACAAAACTTTGAGCCTAAGGAAGTCTGAAGCTTTGATTCGAAGTGGAAGTGGTCAAGTGTTCTACACCAAAGTTCCAACAAATGTCACCAACTTCTGCAGTCGATGACCAACGTCTGCCATCACTCATCAGTCGTCATTATCCATCGTTTGCTACCCCTGCTCATTGCAACAAAACCACATTACGATATACATTGCAGAATCCCGATGTATGTTATGGAGTAAAGAAACATTGCATAGATCAACAACCAGCCTTACATGATAACGAAAAGTCTTATGGAACAACACATTCTAAAATACAGTGTAAAACATATACTAAAGATGATGCGACAACACCTCAAAAATGATGCAACACACACATAACATACATTTGATGTCTATTGAAAACGTGATCATATATGTCTTATTTTAGTATAAGCTTATTTTAATTTTACACTTTTGGAAGGCGTTTGTGATGTATTTTGCGATATTTAGATTAGAAGATTCATTGAAGCTTGAGAAGTAATGAAATGAGCAAAGTAGAAGAGCAATGTATCAGAGTTAGAGATTGGAGTGCAGTGCCTAGGTGCCCACGGAGCAAAATTTGATCCAGCATCTAGAATAGTTGAAAAGTAGGAGTTGGGTTGGTGGCACCTGGACGCTGTGACCTAAGAGCCTAGACGCAATATACTGGCGCCTAGGCTCCCAAAACCCTTTGCGCCAGTACACAAATAGGTGGAAAACAGGCGTCAGACTGAAACGCTCAGACGCCACATATCGATGCCTAAGTGCCAATTCACACATTTTGATGGTTTGAGCAATTCACAAACATTAATTCATGAAGAATAAGATAAAAACCTCTACAACATCATTGCCAACGCGACTTCTAACTTCAGCCTCCACAACCTATGGACGTTATCATGACTTATGCAACTGCCAACCTCGATTCCTATGACCTATAAACATCATCACAAATCTCTACCATGGCTGTTGCGACCAATCAACGCTCTTAAAACAACCATCTAAGTCCCACATGACCAACCACTACAATGGTTTTCAATTAAAGTTTCTACGACAGTCCGACACTACCACCATCATCTATAATATTGATAACAAACTGCTGCTTCCATAATAATCGACTACAACCATCACGACCAGTTGCAATTATTATTGCTTAAATATTATGCACATCAATTTTGTGATTTCAACTTCCCTAGCTTAAGAGAAGATGAACTTGTTTACTCATCATTACAAAGTGGATCGTTTCAACTAGACCAACCCCATCATTTTTTTTTTCCAGGATTTTTTATGTAAAAACTTCATGTGCCTTTATGTCACATTAATTACACGAGCTTACACTTCATTTCCATGCAATGTTGAAATACTAAATAACTACTTTACTGTGAATTCATTAGCACACATCATGTACATACATACATACATGTATATTTCAAAATTTAATTGTTAATTTTTTTAAATATTAAATCCTCTGAGATTATAACTGAACTTTGTCCACGGCGGTCAACGTCATCTCCTCGTTCTCGAGTCGCTTCAAGGAACCCTAGAAAGACCCTATTCCAAAGCAAGGACCCGTCGTTCCCTCATTCTCCTTTTCCTAGAATTGTCTTCTTTTGTCCTTCTTCTTGGATTCGATTCGACTGGGCATAATCGTAATGGTTTGTCAACTACGGAGATCGGTCTGTCGGGGAACCTCATAGATAGATCAGACCGGCAATCAAAGATCCATTTTTTCCCACCCATTTCTATCCCTTACCGCTATTGTTTCTGTTTTCCGAAGCAAGATCTAGATGGACGACGATGCTACACTAGGGATTCAAAACTGGGGAGGGTATTACCGGACACCACCGCTGAAAGGAAATCTAGGGCTGCAACTCATGCCGACCGTCGGAGAACGCGATACCAAGCCCTTTTTCTCTAGCGTAGAAGCCGGAAGCGGCTATCTCCATCGGGAATGCGGAATCACGGAGCCCTCCACTATGCCGATGGACTTTGGTAGGGATGTTTGGTATCATAACAACAGGGATAGCAGCAAGCTGCTTCATGTATTTCAGGGAAACCATCACCAGCATTCTCACAGTTACGAATCACTTCTGCCGGAAGCTTCTTCACATTCGTTCCAGATGCTGCAGCAGGTGGAAGCTCCGAGGGAGGAGAAGGCACACCTGATCGAGGAGCCTGTTGTTCTTCAACCTGATGCTGAGCCCTCGAAGAAGAGGTCAAAGGGCCAGGGGCGTTCCTCGAAGCCCTCGAAGCCGAAGAAGGTTAAGAAGGCCAAGACACCAAAGGAAGAAAACGCCAAAGCTTCCGGGAAAGCGAGGTCGGTAAAGAAGAGCATGGATATGGTGATAAATGGAATTGATTTGGATCTTTCGGGGATGCCAACACCTGTCTGCACTTGCACTGGTCAACCTCAGCAGTGCTATAGGTGGGGTGCTGGTGGGTGGCAGTCCGCGTGTTGCACTACGAGTATTTCACTGTACCCATTACCGATGAGCACCAAGAGAAGAGGGGCACGGATTGCTGGGAGGAAGATGAGTCAGGGCGCCTTCAAGAAGGTGTTGGAGAAGCTTGCAGGGGAAGGTGAAGATTTCAGCAGCCCAATTGACTTGAAACCATTTTGGGCCAAGCATGGCACAAACAAGTTTGTGACCATCAGGTAAAGGCGTAAATTTTTTAATTTGCTTTATTAGGATTCACCTCCAATCTATGGCGGGACTGCTGATGATTCTGTTCTTTGGCTGTGCATATTGAATGTAAGTCTTCTGCTCAGACTGTTGGAAAGACTGTTGAAATAGGTTATTGTACTTGGTCTTCTTTATTATTATTATATGCATGCATTTCATTGTTAAAAGTTTCTGTTAACTGGAAGTGTTTGTAGTTATCCATCTCTTCAATTTTTTGATAGAAAGTTTTTTTTTTACTCACGTTACACTATAAAGCCGGCCTTCTTTAACAAGTGTTATCGGTGTTAATTCTCACGGCGATTCTTGTATTTTATTTATTTCCAAATGTTAAGATTGAGGGGCCATTCCATTCTATTATTATTTTCTCGAAGTACTAACTTGTCTTCTTAGTTTCCCTGTATCAATGTTTGAGTCACTATGTTTGATGCATGTTGGTGTTTGATGCATGTTGGTGTTTGATGCATGTTGGATTTGGCCGCGCTTTACATAACTTTGTTTTGGTCTACAATATTGATTTGATCTGTTAGATAAAGGGACAAAATGTTTGAAATGATTGGAGCCAACTTTTGGAGGTGAGTTTGATGAAGGTGACGTTCATTTATCTCTATTTGTTTTTCAAAAACTGGCTTCTTATAAACTTGTTTTTTGTGTTCGGACTTAATTGAGTTTAATTTATTCCTACTCTCTTGCTAATTGTATAGTTTTATTATTATTATGAGTAATTGTAACATTCAAACCAATCATTTGATATTATTATTCTTTTGTCATCAAATATATTAAGTAAAGTGGATTTACATACATGCCACCTTATTCTTATTATTATTTTTTTCATATGGTCATATATAACAGCCAAAACTTTATAATTACATACGTAGCACCCAATTCTTCCCAATTACTCATTCCTACCTCTCTGTCCAATTTTTGCCGCCAACCTTGCCTCCAGGCGCGTTGCTGCAACAACCACTCTATCATGAATGGTGAAGCTCACGAAGTTGGAAGGGAGAAAGTGAGAGAAAAACGAGGATTACCTTGATGGTTTCGGGGAGGAGCGGGGTCCAAGGAGGGGAAAGATGGGAGTTTTGGAGGTATTTATATGCCGTGATCCCATTGCTCCCTTACCATTTGTAGGAGCGAGTCGAAGGAGGAGAAACATGGGAGTTTCAGAGGCCTCTATATGCCGTGATTCCGTTGTTACTTTCCCTGTTGTAGGAGCGGGATTGAAGGAGGAGACTGATGGGAGTTTTGGAGGTCTTTGGACGATCCTTCCCAGTTGTACGAGCGGGTTGAATGAGGAGAAAAAGGGAGTTTCGAAGGTTTTTACGCGCCATGATCCCTTTGCAGCATTCCCAATTATTTCAGACGACAAAGATTTGACCGATAGGATTATGAAATTGGGAAGAATTTGGTGATATGTATGTAATATTAAAGTTTTTGGTGCTAGATATGAAATGCAATAAAAGTTGGGTAGTAGGTATGTAAATCCCCCTGCAGTAAAATAGGAAGCGACTTCTAATCCATCAAATTCAAAAACCACTCCATTTTTATGCAGTTGGGCTAAAAAAGTACAACTTACTTCCTTTTTTTTTTTAATGAAGCAAATTATGGAAGCCTGGAACTCACTTCCACAAGAGAGTTTCACTTGCTATTGCTTATCTCAAAACAAACTATCCCAAAGCAGGACCGATGAAGTGCTTTTTTAACTATAAAGCTTTTTATATTGATTGCTTCGCATCGGAGCCTTGATTGCTTGTTGGATTGCTTTACATATTTTATTTGTTATCCACAAACTTTATATTTTCATATTTGAATCATAAAATGTTACGTTAGGTTGTTTATATTTGATCATGTAGCTGGGGACCTCTTATCAAGTTCTCAACCAACCGTAGGACAGGCTAAAAATATAGTGATGTTTTTTCATACCTTGTTGTATCACTTATTATAAATTATTATAGTTTAAACATTGATTTTGAAAATATGGTACTACTTACAAGCCATTTCTTATTAGCACATTCCATTTACAAATTGAAGTTGTTCACCGAAATTCCGCCTTTCCTCAAGTTTATTTTTGTTTTTGTTGGTCATTCAGACTGTATGGCTGTTTTATTGAATCTAGAAGCTCCAAGCATAGTTTTATAATTTATTTTTTCTAATATTGTGGACTCGAGCATCATCAGCCGTCTTATTTACACCAAAGCTTGGCTAATATATTTGTACTTAAAAATTTGCATGAAGATTCTACTAATTATCCTCCAACCTATACTTTGTCCGTAATTATCTATCTCTCACCCGGCAAAATTGTAGATTCTATCTTTTCAAAGACATTGAGAAAATCCTATTTCGTCAAATTCATTGAAACCATTGATGAAGCTAGTTCTAGTATAGATGCAGGCCAGCATTTAAAATGTGCCGACTAGTTTTAATAACTACATTCATTTTAATAAATTGCTCTTGAGAGCACCTTGTTTCTGTTTCCATGGTATTTTTATTATTTTAGGTGTTTTGGATCAATCTTCATATTGCTAGGTGTTCTTTTACAATTCAAAATTTTTAATCATTTTTAGTACTTTTTTGCTAGCACCATTGAATCATTTCTATTCAGTTTATGGACCTGAGAGGTCTTTCTTTTGTCAAATTTTGTTTCTACATTCCCTTAGTTAATTTTTCAAAATAGCTCAACTTCTGTCAGAGGTATAACATTTATTCGGCATGAGTGCATATCATTCAAAATTGTAGATTTTCAAATGATTTACTCATTTTCTTTAGTACCTTTTTGCACTTCTTTGTTTTTTTTAAATCTTGCATTAAATTGACTATATTTTAATTTACTGCTCACATGACTATATTTGCAAAGTTCGAATCATGTTAGGAATTTATGCATGCATTTTCAGTTTAAATGTTCAGCATTGGTAACATAAGGCAGTGCTTGACTTAGAATTGGGTAGAGTAGATGATTTGCTTGCAGTTTTTCATTGCAGGATTATTATTCTATTAATACTGTTGGAACATTTAACATCTTTTCACTTGAACTGCCAAATTTCAAGATTGGAAAATTTTTGTGTGTGATCTCATCTAATAATTATGCAATTTATAAATAAAATAAACAAATGCATTGATTTGGTTTCTGTTAATCTAATTCATTTCTGCTTAATATTATGATACGTCTGACCGCATTGAGAGGCTTATATAGGTTAGAAAAAGGTTATAAAAATTTTAACGGAGGTATCTTGTTATCTGTTAGTCAAATGAATGTGCCCAATTTACATGTTTTTGATAAATGGAGGCATCTTGTTTTTAGTAAAAGATCCTCCCCTCAAGTTTTGATTTAATTTCCTATTCTCTGAAATTGATGGCTGTTTTTAGCTTTCGGTTTGTAAACAAAGACTTGTTTCTTTTTATAGCAGGCTACGACTAGGTTCAAGAGATCTAAGGGTCTTAGGCAATGACATTCTGTGCCTGGGAGGGTTTATGGGACGAAAAACAAATTGGCTGGGCAGCAGTTCCTGGGGTGGCTCGCGGGTGTTTGTTGGCCTTAGCAGGAGTTTCAGTACTTAGGAGAGACAGTTGAGGAAAGAGAGGATTTTGGGAGAGGAATTTGTTAGATTCATTGCAAGTAAAGTGAATTTGAAAAACCAGCTTGTTAAAATTTAGGAAACCTTAATATTAAATTAAAAACAAATTTGTCAGATGGAAAATATCAAATCAAACCATTCTAAATAGTTTACAATGAAATAATGTTCTTGGATTGGGCAACCATCAATATTTATTGTCCTCTCTATCATAACCCACCAGGTTAATTGTATTGCACACAATTTTATTCATCAGAATTTTTAATTTTGCATTTATTTTCGCATGTGAACACTTGCTGAAAGTAAATGTCCATTGATTCTCAATATTAATGGTGCAATCTGAAAATAAGTGTTAGTTGGAATTTTTTACCAACTGATCGAACCATTTAAATATCTTTGATCTTGGTCCCTTTAATCACATCAAGGTCTGATGCCCAAATCATGATCATGGATGGTCTGATTAGTCATCCACTTCATCCAGTCTTCAGCTAGTGGAAGTAGCCGAATCCTGTATATTTATGAACTTAGTATTAAGGTGACCTAAATACTGGGACTTTAAGAAATTTGCGCATGCCTTTAAGGGGATGTTAGGATCTCCTGTGTTTTAATTTGAGCTACAATTGGTGCCTAGTTTTTTGAGTAATCTCATGTAAGCTATTATGGTTTTGTTTTATGCATTTAGATTTTTTTTTTCAAAAAAATTTTAGTGGAACATCCATATCATGATAAAAACAGAATATTTTAATCACGAGGCCATTTGCATGCTGCTCGGTGCACCAATGCAATTGATTGCTTAGGGTTGGGTAAAGTATGGCTGATGATTTGGGGCATTCCCTTGAATTCTAACTAGAGGAGTATAGTCTGTAACTGAACATTTATGAGCAATCAACAACTTCATTGATGTTGGTTGTTCCTCTACGTTTGTTTTTTATGGCAAGGAGGAATCAAAGTTTTTTTTTTTCAATGATAGTTGTGGAAGTTTCTATTTACCTATCTTTGAAAGCATACTAGTTTAATCTTGCATTTTGTCAAATAACATCCTACTTAAAACTTCTCATATATAATTATGCGATTGCACTAAATATATTACCATGTTTATTATAGAATTAGTATTGGATGAAAAAAATATGATTTTTAGGTCAAGCATAACTTATAAATGTGGCAAATATCATAGGCATCAAGAGTGCGGGGAGATTTAAAGATAAATTTAATATAAATTGTAATTATGGATGATATCAAGGTAAGTTTAAGTTTAGCTCAACTCGAACTAAAAGTTTCTCTTTCAACTCCTCCTGTACTCGGCATAAGGTTAAAATCTTTTCAATTTGAGTTTGTCAACTCGAAATGATTTAATTATGAGTTAAAGTGAACCTAAATTTGATTTTTTATACATATTCTACTTTATATTATACAAATTTTATTTTTGAAAAATCGTAAAATTTATGTAAACACTCATTTTTTAGCCCTATTTTAGTCCGATTTAAACTACATTCAAGCAAACATGGAAAAAATTGAATTGAAACTTGAGTCCAAAAATGGATCTAAAAAATTGACATTAAATCAAGCACAACAACAACAATAACAGGCCTTTATCCCGCTAAGTGGGGTTGACTACATGAATCCTTTTTCTCTTTTGCGTCCTATTGAGTGTCATATTTTCATTTAATTCTGATAAATTAAGATCATTTTTATACACAAGTCTATTTAGGCCTAACTATGCCTTTCTTAACATAAGTCAAAGCTAAAACATCTACTCTCCTTATCAGATCATCAGATGTGAGCAAACTGTCTAAGACAAATCTTTCTAATCTTGTCCGCCACTAGAGCTACGCCAACCCTATCACAGAGATATTTATTTCGCAAAATCAAGCACAATCAATTTAAATTTAAATTTAAATGTTTCTATGAAGTTTCAAACTTTTTAAACAGCTCTATTTGTAATTTAGCTTCATATATTGTATGGATTTTTTTTGGGGCAATTAAAAAATTATTAGTAGCAAAGTGTGGTAGAAATGAGAATTTTAAGAGGAATATATGGTAAAACGAGGAATGATACTTTAAGGAATATTTATATTAGAAGAATGATCGTGACATCTATTGAATGTAAAATAGTTCAAAATTTACTTAGTTACTTGGCACATGTACACTGAAATTTAGAAAATGATTCCTGGCAAATGAAATTAATGTCAAAGGATTAGGAAGGTAAAATGATAGACTTGGGATGACATTGATGAAAGGTCAAAGTGATTTGTGAAGCATATGCTTAACAGTTCAGACCTGAATCAACAATAACAAATGAAAATGTATGCATAGACTGAACCACAAATACGTAGGACAAAGCCTGTATGTCTTTCAGGCATGCCGTTCATAACGATAAATCATTTCCTGCATATAGAGACCCAAATAAATGATCTATTTAGAGAATCAATGCATTGTGGAATCCATTTTTTCTCCCTCTTTAGGGATATTCGTAAATGGTTTAGCAGAGGTTAGGTGGGTATTTTTGGCAATACAAATGCTAGATAGTGGAGGCACTTCGTATTTGAAATCTATGCTGAACAAAAACGCCCTTTGCTTTGGGCTTTTTGTCTTGGGCTGTCGGGGGGATATTGGCTTTAGGTTTGGAGTCGAATCAATGTGCCTTAGGGGCAAGGGATGGGTTGATGAAAGTTTAAGCGTTCAGATTAGTGTTAAAGATCGATGGGCTGACATTTTAATGTGATGACTAAGTTTGTTTAGGAACCATTAATTTGTTATAAATTTAAGGCTTGCCTCCTTATTTTTGGGTTACTTGTATAGTCCCAAAAATATTCTTCATTGAGTAACTTCTACGTCAAGAAAATATTTAACCTGATCAATTTCCTTAACTCAATATCTACAGTGTTTTTCTTGAGAAATTTCTCTTTTTGGCTCCTATCGCAATCAAGTTATTGACATAATTAATCAGGATTGCAAGTTGCAACGCCCCTATTGGCTGACTGTTTTATGAAGCATGCACGATTTCTTTGACTCTGATTTTATCCCATTGCTTTTGTGAATCTGCAGAACCAAGCTTTTTTGCTTTAATCTGCATTCCTAATTTTATTGAAAGTCATTGAATTTTAGTTGCGAGTTTGTGTGATGTTATTTTTAATCACAATGTAAGAATGCATTTTTTATATCATAGTTGCATACACCATCCGAGGCAAGTATGTAATGATAAAAGGTTTTGAGTGATATTTATTTTTCTTACTAAAGCAAAGTTTCTTGATATCTATCCCATAGATTTGTGTGTACCCTTTTGCTACAAGTTTGGCTTTACATCTTCCCGAGCTTACATCAATTTTATATTCTATTCCAAATGCACAGCATTTGTGCCACACAATTCTCTCTTATTTGTTGATTCAATTACTTCCGAAGCATTCATGTCATCTCTTACGATTTCTCTCTAATTTTTACTTTCTAATGCCTCAAAACAGTTTCTTTTTGGGTTTTAATGGTAATGATATTTATTAGAAGCTTCATGGGAAGGAGTTAAGTTTTGAAAAACTGTGTTTTGAGTTATGGGATACAAGGGATGTTTAATTAATTTTTTTCCCACCTTTTCTGTAACCAATAGGCTGATAACTATCAACATTGTCCAAAGAGGAAACCAATGGTGGAGAAATGAAGCTATACCATTTCTGGTTATAGATTTTTGAACATGTAAGAGTGATTGGCCAAGGTTTGACCTTCTTGTGTATATTTGAAGTCACGAATACTAAGATCGTTGTAAAGAAGTAGTTCTGGGATAGGAATCGATTCTATAGGACTAGAAGTTTATTAATTCTGAGGTTTAGCATATAGAATATTTAATGATAGTATATTTAATCATCAATCTTTTATTCCTTGTGAATGCTCCTAATAAAAAGTTTAATTAAGTTCATTTTTTCATTAAATGTTACATTTTTTGAGAATCTCCTTGATGGATGAAAATACTTGCAACTTTATTGAGTGGTTATTTTAAGAACTTACATATATGTATTGTTGGTTAGTTTTTTAGTTTTTTTTTTTTTTATGAATGTTGATATATGAAACACAACTAAATATTTTTTGAGGGTCTTTTTTGGAGTAAAGTGCCAAAGTAGTTGCCAACTATTTAAATGGAGCTGTTTTAGTCCCAGAGTTTATAGAAGTGTCAAAGTAGTTGTCGACTATTTTAAAATTGACCTATAATAGTCCTCCATTAGGACTATTTCAATCCCAATTTAAATAATATAGGAACTATTTTGGTACTTTTATAAGCCCCGTGACTAAAGCAATCCCATATAAATAGTCGAGGATTATTTTGACACTTCTCTCTCTTTTTTTTTTTTTTTGTGAACAAGTTATTTTTTGGGAGAAAAAAAGATGATTTAATGGGCTTTTGAAACCAATAATTTTTGAAGGTTTCTATTTATTAATTAGGTGGTCAAAATAACTTCTCATTAGCATTCCATTGGATCATGATTTTGAAAAGCAAAGTCTTGGTCAGTCAATGATATGTTTACTTTTTTTTTCGATTGTTCCATTTAGTAGATGGGTTTCAAGATAGAAATATTGATGAATAAATGCAATTTTTTAAATGAGGATAAAATTTAGTTGAAAGAGTTTCTGGCATTTTCTGTTCTAATCATTTTATTGCTGAACTAAGTTGATTTTTTTATGTTGGTGGCAAATTTCGGAAAATTTTATAAGATGTTGGTGAGACTGCAATGCTCTATGGCGCTGAATGTTGGCCTTTAAAAGAGAAGCATAATACTATGTTAGGTGTTGCCGAGATGAGATTGATTAGGTGGATGAGTGACTTTACCCTTAGAGACAAAATGCGAGATGATATCTTTGTGATAGGGTTGGTGTAGCTCCATTGACAAACAAATTTAGAGAGAGTCGTCTTAGATGGTTTGGTCACCTTAAACGTCGGCCATTTGATGATTCGATTAGGAGAGTAGTTCTTTTAGATTCGACTTATGTTAAGAAAAACAGAGGTAGATCTAGGAAGACTTGGGCTTATTGCATAAAAAAATGATCTTAGTTTATTAGACTAAATGAAAATATGACACTAAATTGGACTCAATAGAGAAAAAGGATTCATGTAGCCGACCCTACGTAGTGGGATTAAGTTTTTGTTTTGTTGTTGTTGTTGGCAAATTTCGGAAGAATATGAGTTATTTTAAGTTTTTGTTTAATGTAGCAAAGCTCTGTCATTATAGTACAGTCATTGATGAATGTAACAAAGTCTCATCCTTTATTTGTAGTTTTTTATGTTGCGCATATATTTATACAAAATAAAGTTGATCTAAAATCGCTTGACCAATTGTAACAATTATTTTTTGTAAATAAGATTCAAAATGAAACTTTTCTGTACTAATACTTTTGAAAATGGAAGGAAAGTTTGAATTTAGAGTTTTACAAGTCCTTAATTGAAGGTGATGATTTCAAATTTCATGTATATTAAAATTTAGACTTGAAACTTGTGAATAGATGTTCCATCCAATGTTGTCTTCAAGG